TTTACAAGTATAACCAACCTTGCATTTGAAGATTTATGGATTTATGGATGTAAACAAGTCATATATGAATTTTATCAAGGGGAAAGACGTTATTGCTCTTCTTCCTACGGGATTTGGTGCATTACGTATGTCACGACCAAATAGCAGCGATTGGTTAAATTAAAAATATATCGGCTTACTGTCGAGTGAACGAATCTTAATGCTGCAAGGTCAGACGGTTTCCACGAAATGAAACCGACTGATGAATCAGGCTAATTGTATACTGGTAAATGGTCACATTTTTCCACCTTCAGGGCATTCAAAAGTCTTCACAACAAGGAACCACTCACCAATTCACACATTCACACACCAGTGTACGCAGACACTAGAGGCAAGGTGGGTTGCCAAAGGACACAAGGACAGCATTCACCTGTGGGAGCTGAGATCTCACTGCCCACCTTCCGATCAGAGGACAAACGCTCTTACCAATTGAACTACTGTCGCCCAACACTGTGTCCACAGTTATTAGGCAAATGGGTATTTTGAGGATATCATAATTTTGATGCATATTCTCCAACTCCAAGCTGTATAAACTTGAATTCTTAATGGATTTAAGCGGATCCGGTGATGTGTATTTGTCTGAAGAGGGAGAGTGTGGAGATCAACACCCTATACCAAGATGTGCAGAATTATTACACTGCTTCTTTTCCTCTGGCAAAATGGAACAAAAAAGCAATTTAACTGTCTCTGAAAAGTCAACAATTGTTAAAAGTTCTTCAGAGGGATGCAGCACTCTTGAAACTGCAAAGATATTGGGGTGTGATCACAGAACCATCAAACGTATGCTGGAACTGCAACCTACCTGGAGTGCCCAGAAGTACAAGGTATTTCTTGCTCAGAGATGTGGCCAAGGTAAAGAAGGCTGAAACATGACCACCAGTGGACAAGAAACATAAACTGAAGCGTCAAGACTGAGCCAAGAAAAAACTGAAGACATATTTTTCAAAGGTTTAATTGATTGATGAGATTAGAGTGACTCTTGACGGACCAGACGGATAGGCCTGTGGCTGGATCATTAATGGGCACAGAGCTCCACTTTGACTCAGACGCTGGCAAGGAGGTGGAGGTGGGGGTACTGGTACTGGCTGGTATGATTAAAGATGAGCTTGTTGGACGTTTTCAGGTTGAAGACTCAAAACAAACTCCCAAACCTACTGCCAGTTTTTAGAAGACTCTTTCTTCCATGGCATGCACCCAAGTACTCCACTGTGTGTCTAGCCAGTAAAGGCCTTTTGGATGAAAAAATAATGACAAGGCCTTCGCCTGACCTAAACCTTACTGAGAACTTTCTTTCACCTATTGATTTACGGTGAAATACAGTGTCTGGAGGTTAGAAAAGCTGACATCAACAGATCAAGAAAGAGACAGACTCCATGAATGGAAGGCTTATGACCAATTGAGAAGAAGGGCAGCTATATTGGTCACAGATTTTTTTATTTTTAAATGTCAGAAATGCACATAAATAGCTTCCTGATAATTGTGCACACATAGATTTTCTCCTACAAAAGCCACAACTTCTCTTTTACTTTCTTAAATATTCAGTTTTGAGGTTTATGAACATTTTACATTGACCCAGAGCACTCTAGTTGTTCAGTTATAAAATGAATCCTCATAAATACAACTTGCTTAATAAGTATGCACACAGTATAATTGACATTTAAAGGTGCTATATTACACAAAATTGACTCCTGTGAGCTTTTAGCCATGTTAGAATGCTATTACCAAATCAAAACATACATGGAGTTGTGTTTTGTTTCATTCACACATGTTTCAGTAATGCTGCTATTAGTCTGTCTACATTTCCAAAGCTCAGAATGCCTTGTGATGTCATGAAGTGGTAGTTAACAGCGACCATTTACCTTTACTTCAGCAGAGATTGGCAATTCAAGCACTGAAAATCGCTCATAAACTCATCACAGTGAATAATTAAGATACTCAAAATGTATAAAGTTAAATGATGAATAACTTTGGACCACCGCAAACTATTTCAAATGAACTACTTCTGTTTTACACGTTTTTAAAGCTGTGTTCAGGTACACTGCCTTTAATTGGAGAGGTTCAGAAACTTGACGGTGTACAAACCCACATAGACATATTTTTACCAGTTAAATATATTCCAGAGGCTGCTGTGAGTCATGCTGGGTGCACTCAAGGTTAAAATGCACTTCCAAGGCATAAATTACCAACAACCTTTGAAAGGGCTATTACTCCAGCTGTCATTAAAAACTAAAAGACAGACCATTTATAAAGTTAAAGATTTGGGGAAAATATTTAATAGTGATTTTTTGACAGATTGCGATTGTATTTGCTATTTACTGTGGTTTAATAATAGAATACTGTTTGAAGTAAGGTCTCCAAAAATCAAATACTACTCGATACAAAAACGAGGAACTACAAAAAAACACTCAGACTTATTTGAACAGGTATCAATACTAAAAAAAAGTCACAGATATAAGGCCACATGGGACTATAAAAGAACACACTCAAATTTAATGTTGGAAATCACATTCTATTGTCTAAAGAAACAGCATTTTTATGATCATTGTTGTAATGAAAAGCGTTTATACACTAATTGTGGTAAATAAGAAGCATATTCGGAATGCATAAGCTAAGTGAGGAATAACTTTGGACCACTGCAACCATTTAAAATAAACTACTTCTGTTTTTCACATTTTTAAGACAGTAAAAATCAGGGTGTAGGTTTAAATAAGAGAAGTTCCAGACCCACCATTTTATTATAGACTACTGTTTGTTCTGTATTCATTGTTCAATTTAATTATTACTTTTTCATTCTTACAATAATTAGTAGCCGATACCATATACAACAATAATTTTCAAAAATACCTTTGTCTTTATCACATCATTGACATCAGTACCTGCTAGGAACAAGACACCAAAGTTCACCCACTGAATAAACATGCACCCACTCTATTTGCATTACAAGACATTATGAAACACTCGGAAATGAACTCTGAATGAATGAATACAAATAAATAAATGGGAATGTTCTGTTGTTTGATATTAAAGCTCCCATATTACAAAAAAAATGACTGGAGTGAGTTTTAAGCCATGTTATAATGTTACTTCATTAAAAATATACCTGGAGTTGTGTTTTGTTTCAATCACACATGTTTGAGTAACCTGTTATTAGTCTGTTTACATCTCTAAAGCTCAAAATGTTCTATTCCACATTCTGATGTCATGAAGTGGCAGTTTCCAAGTCAATAGCTACCTTTTACCTTTACGTCAGTAGAGATTGGCAATTCCAGAGCTGAAATTGATCCAAATGATTCTAGTGAAGGTCTATGGAGTTTAAAAACACACTGGAGCACATTCTATATCACCACATGACATCACAAGGTATAACAGGGTGTTTTTCATTTGAAAGAAGAGCCATATTTGCAAGGTTAGTGTGTTAAACGGGAATGAGACTTATGTTTGTGATGAGGAAACAACATTATAACATAGATCCGTTCAAAAATATAGTAATATGGGCCCTTTAAAAGTATCTGTCTTGTATTTATCTTTTTATAGCTCAAAAATACCTTCAAAATCATGTATTTTTAGAGTGAGTGAGGTTGCTGCTCCACAGATTTGAGCTGTAACTTAGCCTGGTTGGCATCACCTTGTCTCCATAGAAGTAAATATGTTTAATGTCATACTACGAAACACTCCAAAGCAATCACATCTCCATGGAGATAAACAGGCAGCTGACCCTCTTTTTTTCCCTGAACATTAACAATACAGACTTTTAATAATTGCAATTTAACACAAAATAGTCTGAATTTTGCTCCAAACCACATACTTTTACTGACAGAAGATTAGGTGTACACTTCTCCATTACAACTTATTGAAAATCTGGAAAATCAAACAGACTTACTAATCAATATGAGAACTAGGATTGAAACTAGACTCATTTGAGCTGGTATTGATACTAAAAAAGTCACATTCACAGGACAGAAAAGAGCCTTTTGAATGATCTTGAGCTGTATCAGAACAAGTATAAGAGCACATAGACTAGTATATGCTCACTGACCACTATGGAACCTACCTGGACCACTGAGGGATTACACAGATGCAAGACCAAATGTGAATATAACAAAAAAAAGTACAGATTTAATTTAAAGATTGTGGTATTGGAATCGGTATCGAGTCCATTCCCTAGTATTGAGAATAGCCTATCTCCTTTTTAGGGCAATGACATAAGCAGGTGACATTTAGTGCAAAGGTACAAATCACGTCTTCTGTCACTGGACTCTGATCCATACGGGGAAATCATTCACTAATACGCGCGTTTTTATGCGTTAAACCCAAAAACTAGTTAAGTACTGCTTCTGTTTTAACGCGAATGTTGACGTGTTGGTTCAAATTAACGTAAATTTTTTTTTTTTTTAAATAGCTAAATAAAAATAGGCCTATATGTTACGTAAAATATTGTTTAAAATACGTGACAGTGGCGGGGATTGATGAGTATAACCAGTCTGAAAGAACATTGTTGAAGGAAAAAAAAAAAAAAAAAAAAAACTAAAAAAAAAAATAAATATTCAAAATACACAATCAAAACACATTACCAATCATTTAAAAAATAAAAATTAAAAATTTCTAATTAGTTTAATGTGCAAAGTCGTTATAGGTCATTCAGAGTTGTTGCCAAATAACGTCAATTTTATCTTTCTTTTTTTTTTTTTTTTCTGTTTTTCCCAATTACAGTGAAGTGAAGTAAGTAATTTTAGGCTATATATTGTATCTTTAAATATAAAATGCGTGGTTATAGTTATTTAGGCTCAATAATCAGTGCGCAAAAAGTTCGTGCCAAGCCTTGTGAGAATGGTGCGAATCCACGGACAATCTGGCACGCGTGAAACCTCCACAAATCGTTATCTAAAAGCTAAATTTGCTCAACATAACATTCCCCTCATCATATTTATAGCTCCCAAACCGAAACATACATTTTTACGCACTTACTTCAACCGCCGCGCTTCATCCGTGCGTCAGATCCATCGCTGCGTGTCCTCCTTCAATGGCACACGAACCTCTCCATCTATGCACCTGCTCCGATGCGCCGACCTTTACGCACGGACGTTTGCCAGAAGTCGCGCGCTCCCCTTCTCCCCTTCACCTTCACGACAAGCGAGTTTCTCTGAGCGTTTTTTTTTTTTTTTTTTTTTTTTTTTTTTTAACGAAGCATCCGCGCGTAAATCCGAGTGGGCTTTTTTGGAGAGGAGCGAGCGCGTGGTGTTGGAGAGTGCGCGCGAGTGGGAACAGGGACGTTTTGGCACTGAAGCGGCAATAGAGGAGAGGAAGAGAGGGATAGAGGGATAGAGAGAGAGAAAAAGAGAGAGAGAGGGAGAGAGAGCTCGTACGTCACCATATACGTGCTGCGTCGGTGTTCTTCGGCACATCCACACTTTTGAGTCACGCATGAGTTACGTATCGGTGACAGAACGATCAGCGGGACACCACACCAGCGGAGTGGCATCAGACCGTAACGCGCCTCTCTGAACTGGCCCCGGACTTCGCGCTCGACAGGCTCCTATGATTTTTTTATTTTTTTTTTCCTGCAGATTGCGTAAAAGCTATGACCAAAGTGCTCCCAAAACTCAATTTATGCCTTAAGCGATAGTGGAGACAAGAAGGAGGAGACGTTTATACAAAAATTGCATAAAAATAATTTGTAGATGTCAGATTTATTAACATGCAATAAATCAAATTGACTGTAAACAATAACAGGCAAGAAAGTTAAAGTTAAGTATATCCATTGTAGGCTAAACACTGTCCAAAAAGCTATCTTTGGTTTTGATCTTAAATCCATGTTTTAATTTGTTATCTCCTCAAAAACAGTTTGAGTAACTCTGGTTTATGGTCTGTTCCAACTTGTGATGTCATGGAGTGGTAGTTTTCAAGTTAACAGTTACCTTTTACTTACGGTTCAGTGGCACAAGGCTGAAATCATCCAAATGATTCTAATGAATGTGGATGGAGTTTATAAACACAGTGGAGCACTTGTATAAGAACATGACATCACAAGGTGGAACAGAGTGTTTTCTCAGCCTATAAATGTGCACGATTTGTGTGTTAAACATGTGTGAATGAAACAAAACACAACTCCAGGTCTGTTTGTGATGAGGAAACAACATTATAACATAAATCAGAAAATTGTGTAATTGGGCCTTTAATTTGTGATTTTTTTATTAAATCATTTGCATAATGGTTTGACAGGATGCATGCTACATGCCCTTCTAGCTCTTGGTGAAATGTCTTGCCCAAGCACACAACATCAGTAAGCACTACATATTTAGCTCCATAGTACATAGTACTATAGTACTTAAAAATTGTTGCTTTGGTTGAAGTTTCTTAGCTGCATGTTTGGTATTTTGACCACTGTGATTTGTAAATGTCTGTGATAATTTATTATACACTGCTCAAAATAATTAAAGGAACACTTTGATGGATGCCACCTCTTTTACTGGAAATGAACAACAAGTCACTAGAGTGGCAACAATGAGAAAGCCCCTAAAACAAGACTGGAGTTGCATGTGGAGGTCTTTTCAAGTTTCTCCCTCTTGGTCTTTTTTTTGGCTGTTTTTCCACTAGTTCTGCATTGCCTAGAGTGATTATCATTACTGGGAGTATGAGGCCATTCCTTAACCCTGCCGAAATTGCACAGAACAATCTCCAGAACATTGAGGGGCTTTCAGGAGACAGGCAGTTACTGTAGGAGAGCTGGACAGAGCAGCAGAAGGTCCTCAACCCATCAGCAAGACCAATTTCTACTCCTTTGTGCAAGGAGGAACAAACTGAGCAGTGCATTTGCCCTACAAAATGACCTCCAGCCAGCTCACTGGTGTGAATGTCTCTGCCCAAACAATCAGGAACAGACTTCACCAGACCAGAATTGGCCACTTCACCATTGGTGCCGTGTTTTTCTCACAGAGAGTAGGTTCACCTTGAGCACCTGTGATAACTGTGAAAGAGTCTGGAGAAGAAAAGGAGAATGCTCTGCTGCCTGCAACATGGTTCAGCATAAGCGGATTGGTGGTGAGTCAGTAATGGTCTGGGGAGGCAGATCCATGAAGGATACACAGACCTCTATCGGTCAGAAAACAGCAGTCTGACTGACATTAGGTATTGGAATGAAATCCTTGAACCCACTGTCAGATCCTACGCTGGTGCAGTAGGTTCTGGCTTCCTCCTGATGCACGACAATGCCCGGCCTCATGTGGCAAGAGTCTGAATGATGAAGAGATTGTTACCCAGTAGATCACCTCTGGAACATTATGCTTGCTCCTCAAACTCTACAGGAGCTCAGTGATACTCTTACACAGATCTGGGAGGACATCCCACATGACACCATCTGTCGTCTCATTAGGAACATGCCATTACCTTGTCAAACATGCACATAAGCACGTGGGGGCCACACAAGACACTGAGAAGCATTTTGAGAAATAAAATTTTGGTAAAATGGATTAACCTGCCACATCATTATTTCACTTAGATTTCCTGGATGTCTATAAAATGAAACCCTCTGCACACTGTATTTTCATTAGAAGCGATGGCATCCTTTTGTTCCTAAGACATTGCTCTGTCCATATTTGTATATATTCACATTGAGATCTGATGCGTTTTGTGTTCCTTAAATTTTTTTTGGAGCAATGGATATTTGTCATATCCATATAATTTCTCTTGTGGATCAAACAAGTTTGTCAAAGTATGAGTCTGAAGAAAAATATGTCTCACAAAATCAGTGTTGTACATGAACTAAAAGGATCTTGGTCTAACTGGAAAATGCCCTGAAGCCAGTCCCCAAAGTATCTCCCTATAGTCCCCTGTTCCTCCTCTGTGCAAATATGTAAAAAGAGGCCTGTATCAGTGCTATTTTGTGGACTAAAAAATATTTTGTCCTAGTTTTTGTCTACCTTACTTTGTAACCTGGTGTTCACACCAGATTCACCCTATGTGTAGCACTCAAAAATGAAGTACCATTATCAGTCTGCAATGGCTCTCAGGACAAAGCACAACGACCTCAGCCTATTTTAATGTCACAACAGACTATGTTTGGGAAAACATCCACAACGGAAGTGCTTTGTACATTTGTGGACAGGGAAGATGGTTGTGCTTTTCTCTCAGCTGAATGTAACAAAAGTTAGATTTTTCAGCTTGTTCTGCTGTTGTGATGCTTCGACCAATTAGATTCAAATAGTCGTCATTACATTCTGCATTTTCTGATCTCTTTCTTTGAGAGCTGTTTCAGACTGATAATGTGCAGAACTCAATGCAGAGTGACACACAGATCAATCTGCTGTGAGCCAGGTTACAGACACCTTTCCTGTCCACAAATACACAAAGTGCTTCCCTCTGCACATTATTTACAAACTAACTAGTCTGTATTTCTGCTAAAATAAGTTGAAGAATTGTTTTTTTAGTTGATTTGGACACTACACTTTTGGTTTTGCTCACACCACAAAGCTGCCTGTGACTGATCTGGACCAGTAACCAGCAGGTACCTGACCAGATGGATTCTTATGAGTTTGTGACCTCACAAATATTTTGAGAATTAACCCTGCCTCCAGAGCCTCAAGGCAGATTATAAACAAATGCAACATCCATGCAACACGTATTTCCAATAAAACAATGCAATACAATTTAGCAAAGATAAAACAACAAACACATGCCTGACTATTATGATTTTGTGATTTTCATTGACTAAAGCTAACTAAAAAGAATGGTTTGAGGAATGGGCTGGACTCACAGGGATGACGTCACTTCTTCTTCATTCATTTTCAATGGCACTTGTGTGACAATGTGAAAATCACCTGTGTAATTCAGTAGCGCTGCTGAAAACGTAGTGCTTGTGCATGTGGACGTGCACATGAGGACCTGCGACGCAAGATTGAACATTGTTCATCTTTTGTCACTGTGGCCAACCCAAAACATGCTACATAGGTCTCCAAAAACAACTGATAGTCATGGTCAGTTAAATACAAACAATTCAATCATTGTGTCCTTAGGCAAGACACTTCGCCCACATTGCCTAGTATGAAAGTGGTGTGTGTGAGTGTTGGTGGTTGTCAGAGGGACCATTGGCGTCGAGTGGCATGGCAGCCGTGCTTCTGTCAGTGTGCCCCAGGGCAGCTGTGGCTACAATAGTAGCTTATCATCACCAGGGTATAGAATGAATGAATAATGCTGAATAATGCTCTGTAAAGCATCTTTGGGGACAGAAAATGTCTGTGAAAGCGCTATATAAATAAAGACTTACATACTTACTTACTTACTATAGTCAGTTAGAGAAAGTTTCTTTAATAGAGCGATGAGCTCACACAAAAGCGTTATGATTTCGCACACTTTATAATAATAATGATAATAATGCATCAGTTTTATATAGCGCTTTTCTGGACATTGAAAGACGCTTTACAGAGCATTATTGTTTCACTCCACACTCGGTGGTGGTGGGATTATAGGATATTTTTCAAAAGAGATATATGAAAGAAAGCTTCTGCCTTTTAGACCCAGGATCATTTTTTTCTTTCATTTGTGAAGCAGAGTTAATACAAATCTTTCAGTCAGTTTGTGCAAAAACATGTAAATATTCCTAAAATGTCTGAGCCAGTCTAATGCCCCTAACCTGCCCTGGCGTCTGTCTTCTGCAGGTCATCGCTCCCATCCTGTGCGTTGGATTTTTCACCTGACATGATGAGTGTCCCTGTCATTTGCCGCCCGCTGTGTATGGAGCCCATTCATCCACAAATATTCATTAAGGCTTAGTAACAATAAGGGGGTTAAGAGTTAGGATGAAGGTCTTCCATGCTTCATTACAGGTGCACTATATATTGATTTGCTTTGAATGTTCCCCAGGAATCAGACTGGCGCTACCTAGTGCCTCCGCTCAATTTAATTTCTCTCCAGTGACTAGATCAGGAATCAGAATACACTAGAAGGTTTCGCAAAAAAAAAAAAAAACCTGAAGTGCAAGTTCGCGCACCAGCCAATCAGCAAAGAGCCATATATTCTGTGCTGTCAACAATTCCTGAGATTGAGGATTTAAAGCCGGAATAAAGAGAATTTTTGGTGAAGTTTATCAAGGGGAAAGATGTTATTGCCCTTCTTATTATGGGATTTGGGAAAAGCTTAATATACCAGTTAGCCATATTAGCAGCACATTACATACATCACAACCAAATAGCAGCGATTGGTTAAATAAAAAAAGTACCCGCCTACTGTCGAGCAAACAAATTCTAACACTGTGAGGTGAAACCGGCTGATGAATCAGGCTAGTTCCCCAGTATGGCATAAGATAATACCCAGAAAAAATGCAATCTTACTGTGAGAGCAACAGAAAAGTTACATTGTGCACCCTTTAAAAGCTAAGTAATTGAATTTATTATAAAGTGGCACTATTCTTCTCAAAATAATGGCACAGCCCTATAGTCAGATGAGGCCAGTACTCACCTTGAAGTCAATCCAACTCTTTGAGAATGAATGCTCTTT